GAAATACTATGTATCCGTACTCTAAATGGGGAATAATGTAACTGTTGAAGATTATGTGGAAAGTTCTTCCGTCAAACTGGCCAAAAAATGCGCTTCAATGTTATCAGTGCAAGGGTTGCTTGAAAGTCATTTTTGTCAAAGTTAGCGTATGACTTCAAATCGTAAGGTACCAGGACTCCTAAATCTCGGCATACTACTAGAGAGGAATTTCTTAAGTTGTAACTGTAGTCTGCAACATGTCACAGATGAACAACTTCACACTTTGAAGTGTTAAAGATAAGTCCGTTATCGTCTGCCTAACTTTGAAGTCGAGTTAGATCCTCCCGAAGTGCCAAATCATCCTCTCAATGTTTCACAATTACCAGCGAAAAATAATAGTTCAGACGATACCTGTTGTGGAAGATCGCTTATATAAATCAAGAAAAGTAGAGGTCCTAATACTGAGCCCTGGTGGACTCCACTAGAACATTCTATAGCCTGAGAGAAAGCAAAGTTAACCCTGACCTTAAAGTGTCAATTTTTTATATATGAAGTGAGCCAGACGTGAGTTGATGCCCAGTCGTTTGAGTTTATTGATAATAAATATATGGTTGGACCTATCAAAAGCTTTTGAAAAGTCAAGGTAAATGACGCCAACCTTCCTCTTGCGATCGAGGATGGTTGTCTATCTATCCACCTCAGTCAGAAGGTTGGTTATACAAGAATGACTCTTCCTGAAACCATGCTTTTGGGGTGAGAAGAAGCGTAAGGATAATAAATAGTAGTATATAGCTTCGCATATCAGGGACTCCATAATCTTTGAAGGCATAGGGAGAAGAGCCGACATTCGCTGCTTGAAGGTTTGCTGCGTCGACCTCTTTTAAAAATTGGTGTGATGCGAGTCTTCTTCCGAATTTCCGGTAATGTGAGAACATCACGCCGAGCGGTGTTTCCAGGATTGAAGCTGCTTTCTTCAATATAGCAGATTAAACCATATCCGGGCCAGAAGTTTCTTTTTCTTAGGTGCTGCAGTTTCTGGGACACCAAGTCAGCGCTCAGGTTCACTTCGAAATGTTCTGTGGAGTTACAGATGAAGCTTTCATCAATATAGTTAATGCGGTTCAGTTGAAATGCTTGAGAGTACCGTTCAGTCAAAAGTTTAGCGGCGTCACCGTCGTTATTGTCCGGGCCATTAGGACCTAGAAGTTTAGTAACCCTAGTTTTGGCTTGTCGAAGAGAGGCTGCATAACGGAATAAGCTTTTCGAATTGTAGACAATTTTATCGATAAGCTTTATCTGGTACTAAAGTCTGCCTTCCTGCATATGTTCCTTATATGTTTTTAATGCCTGTATGCACCGTTGTTATCAGCTCGTTTGTATTCCGCCCAACGGTGCCTTTTTGCAGCTTAGCAAACGAAGAGGGCGGTTCTTGATGGCTGTAGGTTGCTTGTAAATTTTGGGGATCATTTGAAGAACAGACTGCTTTGTAGCACATAAGAGCGTGTGTGGTAAGAAATCCCAATGAGCATCCACATCATTTGTACATTGTTGTACATTGTCCTGTAAACCTGATACATTCAACCGTTTGAAATTCCAGCGCCTGTTCTTGTTGTTGGGATGTCTGCTCAGTTTTGCTGATAAAACTAAACGCTATGATAGCGTCATCGCTTCTCCCTGGGAGAGCCAGGATTGAGAGTATCAAATAGGAATTATTCGTTCGTAAATACCCAGTCCAAGCGTTACGGCGTCTGACTGTTTCTCCAATGAGTGTCCAACTTCACATTTTTGACTAATCCCAGCTCCTCAATGAGGTTGAAGAACCGAACTTCAGTAGAGTCTTACCCCCAATATACGTATGCTCCGCGAGATTGACTTCAAGAATATTGAGGTCTCCTAGAATCAGAATATGAGTGTATAAATCACTAACGTCCATGATCTATATCAAATGATTGGAGGCCTAATGGATTTAGGCGGTAATGGTGTGACGAACCAGCTGACGTCGAAGTCATACCTCGTAGTCCACACCTTACATGGACTACCGCATCGACGTATCAAGGTAATACAGATGCTTTGAAGACTGTACAACACAAAGGATGTTATTACAGAAATATATTTATCAGAGTAGACACAAGCGAAATTAAGAACTCCGCCGCATGGCCCAGTCCGTGGCGTACGATTAATTGATGTGCTTTGGCCGTCATTGACCTTTACAGGGATAGGTGATTGGCTCGATATTCAGTGACCTAACTGCCGGAAGGTTTGGCTAGGGCTCAGTGATATGTCGCTAGCCCTACAATACCCCCTACCAGATTCAACGGCTGCTTAAATCGGTACCAAGCATGTTCGGAATGGTCGCGCACCCGAGACTGCCAAACGATTAATGCGAACTTTTCGGGTATTGTTGAGCTGTAGGACAAATGGAAAGGAGGTGGCAGAAACTGGTCGGGAAAACAGCGAGTAATAATATGTTAGTAGGACGTTGGTTAAATATAAAGCGATTAACCATAGAAATAATAGAAAAACAACGTGTTGAGGTTTTGTCAAGTCATGCTGAAATTGGTACCTCTGACAAGTGATTGCGTTCCTCAGGTGAGAAACGTTACGTTTATCGCAAGAGTAATGATGATATAGTGATAGTACGATAAGTGTATTATCAGTTGATGGAGATGTTTGTGCTGCGATTGTTTTAAAGTTGAAATTCAAAATATGTCGTTGACAGCTTCTATTCGTTAGTGTCGAATTCTAGTTGTATCTATATTTAACAGACTAACAGTAAGTACAAACGTATAACCGTAAAGAGAAGTCTTGATTTCGTTGTGCGAATCTATTGATCAACTTGTAGTTAGAGTTTGAAAAGGCGATGACTGCTGTTACAGTCAGTAAAGGTTGAAGTCTACAGATGGAGAGCGATTGTGGCACGATGAAGTCTCTAAAAGATGATAAGCGGTGAGTGCTGCGTGTTTGTTCGAAAAGTGAACCGAAAATATCGAAAGAACATAAGAAACCAAGAGTGTCACTCTGGACTCATGTCAATGATACCAATGAAAAACGCTGTCAGTGTTGGGATAGAGGCTACAGTGTCGTTTTCAGTTTGCAGGAGATTCGCTCGACCACATAAACTTTCGACTCGTGCGAATGATAATGTCGTCAGACCACCAAATGGACTGAACAGGTTGTAAACCATCCAGTGGTTGAACAGCCAATCGATGTACCGAAATGATCTGTTAGATAACAGCCACGAGGAAACAATACTTCATGAAATAAAGTACGGCGTCACAGTTAAATAACTACAATAGTTCGGATGTGTTACAACGTCAAATGGAAACAAATCGTTCTTACGAATTCTGACAGTTTCACTGAACGTTCGTCTAGGTATTGTTAGCGTAACAGCTGGATGTGTGAATAAAAACATAAGCGAAGACCATGGTGTGGTTTGTGGAGAATTTCAGAGGACGTTTATATATATATATATATATATATATATATATATAAACCGAAAATGGAATCAAAATGACTGTCGTGCAATGAGGAAATCGAGCCATGATTTACCGTGTGAAGTAATAGCAAATACAAAGAGTATAGTAAGCATTAATTAAAGTGGTAACCACCAATTTAACTAAAATGTAGAAGGTTCAGGTAATGTGGCCATTTCGTAAAAAGCTGATGCAAAGAGCTCAGTACCTAGCGTTAAGTGACATATTACTTATGTAGGAAAGGACTAAGATTGCTCGTGTATATGTAATATGTCTTACCATAGTATATTGACTTACGAGTCATAAATGTACATGATTTCGACAATGACAGAATATATGACTACTTTACGTGAAAGCAACTACGAAGTGTTATTACCGGTCATAAATGTAGTACAAAATGACCTACTGAAATTATGGAACTCGCCTGTGTCAATCTCGTTTACAAGCAATGAGAATTTGAACTAGACAGTAGTTCGAAACTGATTTGTATACTAGGTACTGTTTATTGAATTCTTGGAGTTGAAGATGCCACAAGTATTCGGAGTTTGACAACGCTTTGACCAGTAACACCTAATATGAAGCGTACCCACCAAGTGAAATCAAAAGACAGAAGCGAGGAGGTTCGAAAATATATTTGATAGGCTATCAATATATCGAAGATAGTCTGATCTAATCTGGCTAGCGACTGCAATACATGTTGAGCACGGCGTTCCCACTCGTGATCCGGTGAGGATGCGTGACCGAGCGCCTTCAGCTAGGTGAATCCATTAAAACTAATGTGATCAGCATCCAATATCGAAAACTTGCAAAGCAATTTATTTTGGGGATTTATTTACCACTACAGATGAAAATAGCGTAGTAGACGAAATTTGTGTAAGTCCAAAATGAATTGAAGCCAAATACGTAGCACTGCCTGGTGAACAGTCTAAACGAGACCTAAGATTGCAGGACATTCACAGTTCAAACTCACTGTAAATTTCTAGCATACGTATTCTCTGTTTGTCCATGGAACCCAGCTCTACAAGTGAATTCGAGATGAGTAGAGCGGGATGATCCTTCCAGCATACGATTGATGTACTCGATGTCAGCAGTGGGAATCCCATCTCATGACAAGGATACGGAATAACTGATAGCGACTGGAGCGACTTACAGCAAACAGAGGACTCGTTGTAGAAAGCTGAATTGTAGATCACTAGCTTGAGAATCTATGTTGAATGATTTCGGTTTAATCGCTTTGGACGGGAATGGTGTAACCTATCAGCTTAGCCGAAGTCACTTCAAGTGGTTTGTGCTTAACAAGGATTGTTCTGTATATCAATCAGTAGAATTGTATGCCCGAGATACTGGCTACAAAAATACTCTCAATGGGCAAAAGCATATATTAACATTAACAAGTTGCAGAAGTACAAGTCAGAACAACTATACCATGATCAATAATCATCCTTAGCATCATGATAGCAACGAAAATTAAGCGATTAATTTATATTATCATCCCTTACAGATGTTCGGCATCAGATTTAGAACCTGCAACCGCGCGTTTTTTGAATAATGCGCTCCTGTTTTCTGAGGTTCTTCAGTCCCAGTAGATGTGGTAGTTGTGACGCGCGGAATTTCAAAAAGGGCAGTGATTTTTGTACTTGTTGTGATTACACTTGCTTTTGGTACTTATTGCACTAAAACGCATTCTTGGTCTACTTTAACTAAGAGTTCTTTGGTTAAAGTTTGAAATTTTTTGCTACATTTTGTCCTGGGTACCTGTTTTTAGTCCTTGACTAAGACTTGTGTTCACATTGTTATCGTTTTTTGTTTTTTAAACCTTTTAAATCGAATTACAATGGTTGGTAAGACTCACAAATGTGGGCAACCAAATTGTTTGTTCTCCGTTGAGGAGGGAATGCAGTGTGACGACTGTAAAAAGTGGTATCACAAAATGTGTACACGACTAAGTCCGACGGCTTACAAAAGATGCTCGAAGCCTAACTCGCATTGGCTTTGTGTGTTCTGCTGTACGGATAAAAAGGTACTAATACAGGAGGCTATGGGCCTATTGGCTTTGGCCTGCAAGAAAAACGATGGCGGAAGCACTGATAACAGGAGTACTGACGATGAAGAATGTGTCAGTGTAGTAAGTGCTGTTACTAGACCCATTAAACACCTGACTGCGGTTGACGGGATTGTGAAATCTCCGTTGACATTAACGAGAAATGAAGTGTCGCCTGATATTGACATCGGCAGTCATACACCTCTAGTCGAAATAGAAGATCAGGATAAAACTATCACCGTTCCACATAGTCCAGGTGTGGCTGTTCTGAGTGGTGACAAATGGACTCCGGTAAGAAGAAAAAAAATAAGAAGAAAAAGGCTGTAGGCAAAACGCAGCTGGTCAGCAAGACATTGGAAGGGACTTTATCAGAAGAAAAATCCTCACCGCGTGAAAAGATAGATCTCTCTGAGAGATCAGTCATTTTTCATAAGATAAGAGAATCTTCAGACACTGAACCAAAGACAAGATTTGAACATGATCTTAATCATATTAAGACATCATTAAGTAAACTACTCCCAGATACAGTTTCAGGAGTTAGTATTTGTAAGCTTTATAGAATAGGAAAAAAGGTGGATTCCGAAAGTCCTCCGAAAAACCGCCTCCCGAAGGTTAAATTCAACGCGGTGGAAGAAAGGAACCTGATTCTAAGTAATTCACGTAAACTGATAGGATCCAGAATATATGTCCGCGAGGATCTCAGCCTAGCAGGTCGTATTAGGAGACGAGCTGCAGAAGCGGAAATGAATGAACGTCGCCAAAAAGGGGAACGAAACCTTGTTCTTAAGGGTTTTCAATTTTTAAAATTTCGGAGCTAAACGATCCCCAAGCCACTCTGGGTGGCAAGGGAAAGCTCTCCACAGACTTAAAGGTATGCTACACAAATGCTCGCAGCCTACTAAATAAAATGGCGGAGCTGAAGTCAGTGGTGGATAAAGAAAAACCGGACGTTATCGCTGTCTCGGAAACTTGGTTAACGTCAGAAGTATTAGATAGTGAAATCCAATTGACTGGTTTCATAAACACTAGGGCTGATAGATTAAACCGAAGGGGAGGCGGGGTTATTGTGTACACGAAAAGTACCCTAACCATAAGATTAGCTGAGACAGTAGCACATGTTTCAGGGACATGTGAACTGGTGAGATGTAAGTTGAAATGCCGAAGGCAAGATATTGAATTAGTTGTAGTTTATCGCAGTCCAGAATGTGTAGCAGACGATTTTCTCCTCAGTAAACTTAAGTCCTGGTGTAACAACGGTAAAAGCCTTGTAGTAGGCGACTTTAATGCACCATATATAAACTGGGTTAACTTAGAAGTAGAGTCATCTATATCGTCGTTCGACTCCAAACTGTTAGAAACCTCGATTGGACTAGCATTATTCCAACACATTAGAGATCCCACAAGATACGACTTAAGAAACTCTTCCTCTCTTTTAGATTTAGTCTTCACACACGGTGAGGACGTTGGTCAAACGGCTTTTCTCCCACCACTTGGGAGAAGTGACCATGCAGTCATCTTATTCAAATTCATGGCTGAAATTGCTTCTCAAACAATTGCGCCGGCCCGTCCTAACATATGGAAGGCAGATATGCAGGCAATTGACTCCGCAGCATCGGCTGAGAACTGGGAAATTGACTCAAAGGCATCAGTACAAGAGGCATGGACTCTATTCAGACAGTTATACAATCGGGTAACTCAACCATATATACCCTGGACTGTCCCAAAGAAAAAGAAGCACGGACATCCCTGGTTAGGGCGGGATATTCGACGCTTACTAAGACAAAAGAAGAAATGCTGGGATGTTGCCATCCGCCTTGGCACAGCAGATACGATGGAACACTACAGATCGATAAGAAACGTGTGTATAACGAAAATTCGGGAAGCGCAAAGAAAATACGAAATGCAGCTGGCAGAATCTGCTCTCAAGCAGCCCAAGAGGATATTCTCGTACATAAACTACAGAACAAGGACTCATCACTGGATTCCCAACCTAATTAAAGTAGGAAGTGAATCTGAAATGATAGAGGAAGATCATGAAAAAGCTGAGATTATGGCTGACTACTTTGGGGCAGTTTTCACTCAGGAACCTCCTCTAGAGAAAGAACCAGACCCAATTACAGAGTCAACAAACCAGCTGCTCACCGTGGACTTCGACCAAAACGATGTGCTTAAGGCTCTTAGCACCCTAAACATGGAGAAGTCAACAGGACCAGATGAACTACACCCTAAAATCTTGAGACATATTGCCGAATATATCGCAGCCCCACTGACTGTGATATTCAAAATGTCACTTGACCAAGGTGTGTTACCTATGGACTGGAAGGACGCAATCGTCACTCCCATACATAAAACTGGTCTACGACAAGTTCCATCAAATTACAGACCCGTAAGCCTCACCAGTGTTGTTATTAAAATACTGGAAAGGATAATCAAACGGACCATAACAGCATTTATGGAAACCAATAACTTGCTGAACATGGCACAGCATGGTTTTAGAAAGGGTCTATCCTGTACAACGAACCTCCTTATAGCTAGGGAGCTCTGGATTAATGCGCTAGACAACGGAAACTCAGTGGATGTTGTCTACATAGACTTCAGTAAGGCTTTTGACAAGGTGCCAACTAATAGACTGCTATTGAAGTTGGCAAACCTTGGTATTGCCGGACCTCTTTTAAAATGGATTAAGGATTTCCTAGTAGGTCGTAGGCAAAAAGTAAGAATAAATTCCAAGTGCTCCATCTGGAGACCAGTACTTAGTGGAGTACCCCAAGGTTCCGTCCTAGGTCCTTTACTTTTTATAATGTACGTTAATGATCTTACAAGTATAGTACAGTCTCCAATGTTATTATACGCTGACGATGTAAAAATTTGGCGAGTAATAACTGGAGACACAGACACATTTACTCTTCAGGCGGACTTAAATAATATGATAAACTGGTCTAAAGAGTGGCTAATGCCTATCAACTCGGAAAAGTGTGTCTACATGCACTTGGGGGATTCAAAGGTTAATACGTACAACATAGGAGATGTGTCATTACCCGTAGTCCGGTCTCATAAGGACCTAGGGGTGACCGTGAGCAATGATCTTAAGACGACGGCCCATTGCCGGGAGGTCGCAGTTAAGGGGTTTCGAACCCTCTGGGCTTTAAAAAGGACATTCACTAAGCTTGATACTACCATGTTCACCACATTATACACATCCTTAGTGAGAACTAAGTTAGAGAACTGTGTTCAGGCTGCAAGCCCCTGTTTAAAAGGTGACTCAGACATACTAGAAAAGGTACAGAGGGCAGCTACGCGTGCGATTCCGGAACTCCGGGGTTTATCATATGAAGAGCGGCTTGAAAAACTGAACCTCTTTACTCTGTCCTATCGCAGACTAAGGGGAGATCTAATATTGATGTACAGAATACTGAGAAATGATTTCGGACCTAACTTATTCTCTCTCTTTCTTCCCACTAGATCGGGACACCTCAGAGGACATAGTAGGCGAGTAGAAAAGCCAAGAACGAACAAAATACCTCTGGCATACAGGTTTTCACACCGAGTCATCAATACTTGGAACCTGCTGCCTGAAGCAGTGGTATCCGCACCTTCAATTGACTCTTTCAAGAGAAGACTGGACACTCACAGAAGCATACTAGAAAAGGAATAACATAGGCCGTAGGCCTTCTGTCCTTACTACACAAATCTGAATCTGAATCTGAAATCTGTTTTCTGAGGTTCTTCAGTCCCAGTAGATGTGGTAGTTTCAGTAGCGTTAGCTTTACTGGAAAGCCTCATTTACTTATGACGTGGAGAAAACTAAATTCTGAAAGCGATCGTTCCGTGGTGGGAACCAACAATCAATACTTAGTTTACGAAAGCCCACACCGTAGACTTGTCTTAGGCGCTAAGACATTTTCAGTGCTTTCCAGTTCTATCGTTCTCTTTTCACAACCTATTTTGTTTTTTCAAATCCCTGATCCGAAGGTATTTTGTTTCGCTCTTGTTAGTGGCCTGTTGTTCTCCCTTTCTACTCCGCTCTTGCTGCATCTTTTGACTTCTAGTCATGTTACAGAATTATATTATGACAAGGAAAGCAAAAAGTTTACTGCTTGTCTAAAAGGAATACTTCTCAATACCAAGAAATTGGAATTCACTGCTGAAGATGTCAAATACATCGAGCCGACCATCACAATGGCAAGCATTATGGCCAAAGGTGTACCGTTATTTGTTTCAGAAGATCACTTCAAAGATATTGAAGTGTATAAACAATTAGTGCGATTTAATGAGCCAGTGGATGTAAAAAAATTCTGAATAAATGCTTGGCATCAATAATTCACGTTTTGGTCTTTTATTAGATTTATTATTTCTCTCTGGTTGATTTCCTTTCCTATATATTTAGGGATCGAAATGTCGTCCAGATGAAACTAACATTATCATTGGTTAGGACTTCTGTACTCAGTCTCCTTCAGATACTTCATGAATTAATTGTGTTCAGAGTCTAAAGACACAAGAATACCTAGTTTCTGCAAAATGACGTTTGGTGTCTATCCTGATGTATCACTCACCAGGGAAGTAAATCAAATAAGAAGCATTCGTTAAACGAACAAATATAGGTACTTGCTGCATGAAAACTTGCAGATGATTTAAAATCTTGAGATTAGTTCAGATTAGTTTTCCGATTAGTCTCACCATTGGTCCTGGATGTATTGTTGCTAATGTTTTTTGCATTCCCAGCTCGACAACTACATTATGTCCATATTTCGGCTGACAGGTTTCTAACAGTTTCATAAAATAAGTGTTCGGTGTTCAAACGAACTATAAGTTGCATTATCACTGCATATAGGTTGCGATGATAGCTTTCTACTTTCTTTTTTCTGTTCTGCATTTATACATAATTTAGACATTTAGCTCGTGGTTCTCATTGCACGTACATATGTTAATACCGGAGATATATCTTCCCATAAAGTATGCATACATATACGTCAAAGGATCACATATTTGTTACCATGTTAACCGAATCTGTCTTTATTTGAAGTTTTTAAACCTTTATTTTCCCTTAGCGCCCATGTTGGACTATTCTTTTTTATGGGACTGTGTACAACCATGACTACAGGATTATTGTTTCGTCGCCGCCAATTAGTTTCACAGATTTTCACTCGGTTCAATTATAGTAATTCATTTGGCTCTACAAGTTCGAAGAAAAGAGCTCCTGGACATACGGTAAGAAGTTTCCTCTTATTAGACAAATCATTGTGATAAGTTATCAGATAAAGTCATTCAGTGGGGTAACTACCTGTCTCAACTTGTAAGATCTAGATTTTTCCAATTTATTTATGCTCAGACGTTTGAAAGTCAGGTTAGCTCCAGGAAACGAAGCTAATTTTTGCTCGAAGATATTTCTTAGCCTGTAGCCCCTGTGACAAGGATGTTCCTCTTTCTTTTTCCTATGAAGTTAATCCATAAATGAACTGTGATCCTGTGACTTTCAATTTCGTGTTTTCATATACGGAAATAAGATCAGTTGGCATAAATGTTTTCAGAAATTCTCAACATTAGTGGACCACAATATGGGTTTTTTGAAATTTTTAACCAAGCTCAAACTTTTCAAGCGTAATCGACGGTGAGTTTTACGGCTCTGAGAGTTTAAGAGTATGTTTACAGTCAGTCACGATGTAGCAGCTGGTGCGTGCGTAGATCGGTTAAGTTTGTCATTCCCTATTCAGTCAGTCAGTCAGTAACAACGTCGGAATTCGTACGTACGTACATCAGTTCGAGTTGCCACATCACATTAGCACAGAGATGCACTTGTCGATTCAAATCCCGTAGTGGTAGAGGTAATAAGAGTATAAGCAGTAATCGGGAAGATTAGGGTTTGGAGATGTTATTTAAAGAGTATAATCCAGTGAAAGAAATTTGGAAAGAGAAAAACCAAAGGGACATGAAGAATTCAGAAGATTAGAATTTGGGAGAACACAGAGTGTGGATGCACCTGCGCCATTGCAAACGATTTTGAGCCATGTCATTCAGGGTCTCTAACCATCGGTTGCTGTCATCTCGCGGTCTCCAACCAGGTAGTCTACACCTACCAACATGACTCAGTTCACTTGTCAGTGACTTCATGGATTTGTGCCATGTTTTGGTTTGGCCGCCCCTAGCTTTCTTCCAACCTACTCCTATACCACTGAACATAGCACGTCGAGGCAGTCGGTCGTTGGGCATACGTAACACGTGTCCCAGCCATCTCAACTGATGAAGTTTCACTACTTCATCAATTGATTTGCCATCCTTACCTAGTACCCGTTTCCTAACAACTGTGTTACTTACTCGATGGTCCCATGATATACGAGCAATGTTTCGAAGACACCTATGATCAAATACTAGTAACCTACGAATATCCTCTACTCTTACCGGCCATGTTTCACTGCCATAAAGTAGGACGGAACGAACTGCTGCGCAGTAAACACGTCCTTTGGTTGACAGACGGATATCTCGCCTACGCCATAAATGACGCAAGTTGGCAAAAGCTAGTCGAGCCTTCTGTATCCGTGCTGAGATTTCATCACACACCAGACTACAAGGGCTGATGAGACTTCCAAGATAAGTGAAGCGGTCGACACACTCAACTACTTCACTACCTATCACTAGTTCGGTTGTCGATGTAACCCAATCCTGAAGCAACATTTTGCATTTCGAGGGAGAGAATCGCATCCCGAACATGCTTGCATTGTTGCTTAGAGTGGTCAGAAGACTCTGCATTTTGTCAGCGTCTTCACCAAATAAAACTATGTCATCAGCATATTCTAAGTCAACAAGTGAACCTCCTGGTAGAAGTTCAACCCCTGTAAATTTAGATGAGGAGAGTGTTATCTCTAAAAGTACGTCAATGACAAAGTTGAACAAGAATGGGGAGTGTGGAGAGCCTTGACGAACACCACTTGAGGTGATCAATTCTGATGACAGTTCGCCATAAGCTCTCACTCTACCAGTTGTGTTCGAGTAGAGAGCCTTTATAAGGTTAATGTACTTCTTTGGTACTCCTTTCAGTGACAAACACTGCCATCGAACCTCACGATCAATAGAGTCGAATGCCGCCTTCCCTATTTTCACAGAGGGATGAAATTGTCAGGTCAAATCTCATAATAGTAGGAGCAGTAACGGTATCATTGGTGGCTGAAAAGACTAAGCATCGAAAATACGATTCAACAGTATATAAATTAATTAAATAAACACAGAAAGGTTATGAAGGATTCAGAAGCTCAGGATTTGGAGAAAGACGGAGAATGGAGTCACTTGCGCCATTACAGACGATTTTACGATAAAAAGTGTTCATGTTTTTCCTTCACATACCTCTAAATCTGCTATGTTGACTTACTAATGAGATTTCCCTCCCCTATACTCACTAACGAACTTGCTTTCTGTGGTCCCACATCCAAAGAAATTTAGTTTAAAATTAGTGGGGTTAGAAGCACGTAATGTTTTAAGAGATACCATCTAAATTATGATGAGTCTCAATGTGACTTTTTAGTGCTAATCAGTAGTAACTGACAGTTTTAGACCTTTAGCTTTGAAAATTCAAGTGGTTTATGGGATTGAAGAAAAACATCGGCTAACAAATAACTTCAGCACGTAAACCTGGGAAATCTATAAGCAGTCCAACTGATTTGTAGCTACTTCATTATTGCTTTGAAGCCTACCATAACCTGATAGAGACGTAGACAGTTACCTACCCTCCAGTTTTGATGAAATTGACAACATTGTGACAAACCTGAAACAAGACGAAGTAGCGAAACTTAGTCGTTTATTTCCAGGTGTTTTCAACGGTAGCATTCAGAAGTAACTGGTCAGAATAAATTTTTAGTTATACCAAACGAATTATAAATGATTTCTTCAAACCGGCCAATCGTTTATCATTCTGGTGTCTTAATAATTAGAATCCTCTTGCGGTTATCACAGAAGTCGGTTTGTGAAACACTGTCTCCAAAACCCACTTGATACCCAACGTAAATTGAGTAGCAAAAATCACGGAAAACTTGCAGGAATGCATGCAAAAAATTTAAATTGTCATAATGTTTTGCAACTTTGAAAAATTTACTGCTAACCTATGCTTACGATTTTAATTTACTTAGAAAGTAATACTTGACACCATCGACTTAAGATTTTATTAATGCCTCTGGCTTGAAATTTCCTTCTACGAACATGTATTGTTAATAGGTTGTCCTAATTCGGGATGAATACGTGTTTTGGTACTAGTTAGAGATTCTTAGATAAACATGTAGTATGACTAGATCAATAGGAAATCTCTTTATGCATATAATCGGGACTCACTGGTTGCATGGTAGATAATTAGGACCATTTTTCGCAGGTTTGCGCAAATCAAAGTTTAGTATAAGCTTGCACTAATTGTCACCACAGTCATCACCGATTCCCTTCTTAACATCTTCACTCTCCCAACCAACCTTTGACTTAGATAGATAATATTCTAGTCAGTTTTAGACGCATACATGATTACTAGTCTATGCATAGTACTTGTCTGAATTCTGATCATTCTCTCTGTAATATGTGAAACTCACATAGTTGACAGATTCATCATTCTAAAGAAATTACCGTGATTGGAATTGGTTTCATTTGACATGACACCAAATTGGACTAAATTTGATGTTAGATGTTCAAGCCACAAAACGTTTAGTTGTCATGGAAGTGATGGTTAACGCCTTCAGTAGCTTCAAAAAATGTCCAATATGGTGCTTATCGTTTGCCTTACGTCCCTTACTTAAAAATATCACAAAGCTTGCATGGAAACCTAGAAGGGTGAAGGTTTTGGTGGGGTGCCCAGATGAGAGTTGCGTCTGTATATGGCGGCTGTCAGGATATATACAATTTCATCTCAATAATCTTGATTATATTGGTAGCTATCGATTGCCTGGTTGTGGTCAGTGGTATTATCAGGCTTAATCGTTGGAGACGTTGAGTGTCTCTAAATGGCTCAAAAATGATGTTGATTACGCAAATATATTCACTCTTTATCTCCTAAATCTCGATTTTCAGAATTATTATGCGGATTTCTCACTGTCACTGCTACTTTTATTACTTTGTCTTAGTAATTTCATCTACATGCGATTATGTTACGTGACACTTAAGCCGATGCACATATTTCCCAGGTTCTAGGTTGCTTATTACTGACTGGTTGTATTTATAATGTATTTTTTACTACTGTACAATTTATAGCTCCAACCTTTTGTATGCAGTAAACGAGTTGTTGTGAAAGCAGGTAATGGCGGCAATGGTTGTATTGCGTTCCGACGTGCCTTTTG